GCCTCCGTTAAGTTCAGTTATAGACAGCAGCAGTGGGTTATACGGGCTGATTTAAAATTCTACAGTGGCAGCTCCATTGTTATTGCAGCACATTCCTCCGATTGGTGTCCACATACACTTCGGCAGGCTGCAGTTGCAGCCACGGTGGTGGCGGCGACGGCAACGGTGGCAGCAGCGTCATAGCTGCAAAGAGGTCTTCCTCCTTGGTATGCTTGTCCCCACGCTTTTTGCAAACAAGCTGCCTGTGTATTCTAGCTGGTTCTGCCTCGCGCGTACCAGTACCAGATCCCATCCCGACCCAACGAGTACAGCGACGAAACGGCGCACAATCGTTGCTAAAAGTTTCGCGCTGACGAGATGCTCTCATTGATTCGACCGTTTGGCTGTGGCGCTCATTCGTCATCTCGTTGCCATCCACATTCATTTCGTTCGTGGCCATATTGTGAGTTTCGGTTCGTTAGCTTTCGATGCTCAACTCCAGTTTGGCCAATTGGCGTGTTGGTAGTTAAGTTGCGGTGAGAAGCGAGTTAGCATGTTTCTTGGCGGTGTTGCGTGAACGCAAAGAAGATAATTGTGAGCAAAAATTTACTATTACAAAGCTCCATTTGCAAAAAGAATCGCACATACGCATTCACATTCATAGTAGCGGTGTTGTAGTGCGAAAAGTTTCACATTTGAAGTGCAATAATTGATAAAAGAAAGCAAACAAAGGAAAAGTCTGCCGCCAACGATCATAAGAAACAAAAAAAAAAACGTAATATTAGTTAGAGAAGACGTGAAAACGTGTAAATTGTTGCAACGCGTCAGTAGTCGGCAAAGTCGGCAGCAGTGTCCAGCTAATTGTGCCGCAGAACCTTCTCTTTTATTGCGATTCGGTGTATACACATGTAGTTGCATACATTAACGTAATTGTTGGATTTGTTGGACGTTGAATTTTTTATATTAGGAATACCAAAAGTATCGGAGAATAGTTGCGATTGCAACACCCGTAGCGAACTCAGTTTGTTAAGGTAAAAAAAAAACGCATGCATGCATACATAAATATTACACTGGATCACAAAATTTTAATTTGGTCTTTGTTCTCCAGACGCCACTATCCAATTTCTATGTAGCATTGCTTGGTGATTCCGAAATTCGGGTATGGATACGTTTTCGAGATATTTGCAATTTACCATTATTCAGCTTAAAGCAAAAATTGGTTCCTTTTAATCACGTTTATCTTACGAACCAATTTAAAAATCTTAATATAAAATAGGGCAAATGAAATTCTCCATACACCGTATATACATCATTTTCCGATAGGGCTTATAGTTTCTGAAAAATTTATTAATCATTCCAGCTTTTTTTTATTTTTTATTGAATGAAAAAATGAAAAAAAATCAAACTTTAACAGAACAAAAATTAAAACAAAAAACCAGTTCTGTGCCAAATTTTTGCATTTTTACTAAAGCCTGTTCTGTTACAAAAAAAAAAAAAAATCAATACGAAATAATGAGTGGTCAAATGAAAATGCGCAAGATTTTTTGTATGAAATATGGAGCAAAAAAGCGTGTTACTTAGGTGTCCGCGGCGTATGAGAGAAGAGTGTCCACATTTTACTTCAAATAAAAAACTTTATTTTACAGCTACACAAAAATTTAATTTTAATTGCTTCCATATACGAGTTTTCATAAAATCTTTGAATGGGAAAGTTAATTAAATGAAAATAGTTACATATTTGTCTAGTTTATGTGCTCTCATAAAACTCGCCTGTTTTTCTATAACTCTCAAATTCTTTTTGTGTGTTTTGGTGAGTGGTTTCCCATTTGTTTACCCGCGTATGAATGCGACTAACCAATAAGTTAATCAGCCATCTATTCTAGCCACTCCTTAGCGGCTTGTAGACAGACATGACGACAATGTGTACATATTTCAATGTCATTGTATGGTAGGTACATATATTATGTTTGTAGTTGTCAAGGGTGTGTTGAAGAAATGTGCCGTTAAATGCGACTTTAAAGAAATAAATGCAGAGAATCTTGCCTACTACATATCGATGGCTGAGTGGAAGATCGACCTATCTCGACAGCCAGTTCGAAAACGCCCTATCTCACAAAATTTTTCAACAACAATTAACTGAAAAACGCCCTAACTCAGAATTCGGTTCAAAAACGCCCTCTCTCAGTACATTTTCAATGTACTTTCGTTTGAGATAGGGCGTTTTTGAATCGTCAGCTGAGATGGGGCGTTCTTCAACCAAATTTTGTGATAGGGTGTTTTTGAATAAAATTTTGAATTAGGACGTTCTTGAAAAGTTTTCTGAGAGATTGCGATTTTTTTCACACTTTGCTAGTGTTTAATAAAAAAGTATAGGTAATCCTGAATATGAACTATATCGTTAAAATTATTATTTCTTACTTAAATTATTTGCATAATTTTATTGTGGCAAAAAATCTATTTTGTAGCATTACCAAATGCATAGATTTATTATTTGCATTATGCTTCTTATTATTGAAAACTTTATTACACGAGTATGTAGCATACATATGTACAAACTTATTACCATTCAATAGTGTGCATGTTTTACATTAATATAGAAAGCGCAAAACTTTTAGCATTTTTGACGTTTTCAAACACTATAATTTTAAAATTTTCAACTCAAACTCACATACTAATTCTTAGTCTCAATCTCAAACAACACCAGTTTAGAGCAAATAATTTTTATTTTATTTTTAATTTTATATGATTTTGTTATGTTGGCAAACTTCTAACTCGAGTTGGGAGAACGGTTGCGCCTCACTATGTTTTTATCATGTTTATGTATTTCTTCAATAATTTCTAAAGCATTGCCGCTCTCTTCTATTCTGGTAGTACAAAAAAATGCTCTGCGCATTCAGTTTTAAGTGTCACATTTAGTTTTAATAATAAACTGCATGATGAATGCGCTCCATTATGGATGATGCATCACCGCGCATAATGAATGCACAGATCATTCTCTCCTGGTAAAGGGTGGCGGTAGTTGCGCAATGCAGTTGAGCAAATGAGATGACCGTTGCTGCATAGCAAGCAAATGAAAGATTATTTTAGTAAGTTTAACGAAATGAAAATCGAAAAAAAGCAGCGAGTTTCTTACTTAAAATTTACATGACATTTGAAGCATCCGCTGACGATAATTTACCCCTTTGAATGCATGTTTTCGTGTGGAGCTGTTAATAACATTCCAAATTATTTTACCAAGAATTTCTCGAATAAAAATTATATTATAATTATTTTAGTTAATTGCTTCATATTTGGATGTAATATTTTCATCGTTTTAAAAACGGCTTCCCCATTTCTTCGTTTCATTCTCCGCTTATAATGATTTTTCTGGCAAAGTGCCTTTTGAACTTATAATGGGATTATTGGCGGCGCCAAATTTCCATGGAATTCGCAGTTAGACATTCAGAGAGACTCGAATCACGTTTGCATGCGCCTCTAACACCCACAGCCTTTTCAATTTACTATATGCGTCTGTTGATTTGTAGTTGCAGAGTGGGGAGGGATTGTATGCTGGGTTGTAGCGGCGGTCTGTGCGCTTTACTTGTCTTCTGCTTTTCATGTGTTCGTTTTGCAAATATGGCGCTTTGTTCGTTCGTGCAACTTCTTAATTACCTATACGGTTCCGTTCGCCTTCTTTCTCATAATTCGACCAATCTTGCTCCTACTGCTCCACAATCCTGCTTTGGGTGTGTTTTTACTTGTGCCAAAATAGGTTATTTAAGTTCGGCCCTCAGTGTGGGCTACTGAGTGTGTTGATTGTGTGAGTGACAGTAACTATCTATTCATATTTTAGCGCTCAAATGGTCGCGGAACAAAGTCAAACAGCTTTCAGGCCTAATTGGATGGTTTATGCAGCTTTACAGTGCGGTATCAAATTGATCATTGTGTTGCACGAAATAGTTAATTTTCTGATATATGTTTGTATGTATATAATTTTACTTACTTATGTATGTATATGTGCTATGATTTGGCTTTCCTCTTTTTTCAGTGTTATATGCATAATTAAAATTAATGTTTAATTATGTAGATACTTTGTTTTGCTTTGTTTGTCATCTTGTCAAGTGGCTGTAGTTTGTTGTTATGCACTGTCACCCGCTAAATCTGTTCACTCTTCCTCGTCGTCGTTTACGTCGTCCTTTAGACGCATTTAAACTTTTCACTTTTTATTTGTTTAATTTTTTTTTGGCACTCATTCATCTTAGCATCTGCGTTTTTTTCACCTCGTCTGTTTTCATTTTGTTTTATGTCATACGGAGTAGCAGTGTTTGCGCCTTCGCCTTCACCTAATTTAAAAGAAAACGTTTCACTTAGCAACCAACGTCAAACTCATTTTCATCCTTTTCAAATTTTTTCTTATTTGCCATTTATTTTTGCCCCTTCCATTATACCGAGTTTTCTTTGATGTTCTCATTTCGTTCGAAATGGAAAATTAGCTAAGCTTCTTCGTTGACGCTTTGTCATGTCGCCACAGAAGATAAATTCTCTTCAGCATCTAAATATCGTTTTTTAACGATACCGATAAATTTTTATAACAGCAAAAAAGGCAAAAACTGATTTCTTATAACAGCTGGTAGGCTTGCTTCTTTTAAATCAGGATCTAGCACAGAATTAATTTTGTAAGGAATTTATAAAGAAAATGGAAATGAACAATTTGTTTCTCAATATTACTGCAATTAAGGCACAAGATTCAATTGATTTACATACCTATGTACTACATACATACATATGTATTTCTTAGAATGAATTTTGACTTCTAGAATACATTTCCACTAATTTACATTATTTGCTTCTCCCTAATTTTATCATTTGAATTTGCTTGCTGTTAGTTAAGCGCTCATTCTCTTACCAAATGATTGCTTCTACTGTCACCACAGCACTTTCCGTAGTTTTTTTTTTGTTCTTCTTCTTGTCATCTTGTCGGCAACTTTATGCCTCGTAAAAGTTCTTAAAGCCAAGTGTAAGTAAGTGTGTTGGCGCGCGTGTGGGGGGGGCGCATGTTTTGTTGTTGAAAGACTTTCAATTTCATTTTCGTCACCAGTGCGACTATATTCCTCAGCAGAAAACGCGAAAACATTGAGGCATCGCATTGAGGTGTGTGCAGCAAAGGGCAAAGTGAGAAATGAGTGTATTCTTGGTCGCTCGATTTACCATTTTCCCTTCACACTTCTCTCCACCCTCTCCACCTTTAGCTTTCATGTTGAATTGTGTACCTTATGAAAAAAAAAAAAAATCGGCCAACTGTGCTCTGTTCCGCTGTCATTAGTGACGCAAACAGTCGGGCTTCGTCGGCCCACCTTCTCTGCGTTTGTGTGTGTGCGTGTAATTGCCATGCCCGTGAGGTGTTTACATGGATTTATTACTGCTGCGATTTTTTCCATTTTGCAACGCTTTTTTTCTTGATTATGATAAAGCTGATTGTCGTTTGTCATAGCTGATGCGCTGTGCACACTGTCTTATAAGAGACATATACTTTCGTAAGTTTTTTTATATTTTTTATGTATTCGTGAAACGCGATTATAAGAAGAGCTTCATGATGCCTTTATTTTTTTTTTTTTTTTTACAAGCCCGTACTTATTTATGTATGTATTTCATATGCCTATCGGATGGTTCTGCATTTACTTCCTTTTTTCTTAAAGCTGTTATTAAATTATTCATTTCCTTTGTGCGCATTCGCGCTTGCATTTTTTTGAATGTCAAGTGCGCAATATTTCAAGTATTTATTTATACTTGCGTTGCATAATTGGACATATCAATTATTACCTTTTGCTTTACGTATGCTTTTTTAGTGCAGTGTTAGTGCTTATTTGTGTTGTTTTTTGTTTTGTTTTATTTTTAATTGTTTAAAAACGCTCATTTTCACTTGCCTTGCATTCAAAAGTGTTGTCAGAGGTGTGTTGTCTGTTGTATTACGTCAGTGTTTGCTAATAAATAAATTTCGCATTTGTTTGTCTTTATACAATATTTTTTCGGATATTTGTTTGTTTGTTTGTTG